AGTGCAGCTTTGACATGCTTCCCTGACACAGCAGGCACTCTTGAGACTGTAAAACCGGTAGCTTCCTCCGTCCCTTATAAAAACCCACTTGAAGTACAAACCAGGCTTCAGCGTGAACGCTTTCTCTTGTGCAGCCAAGAGCCAATGTGTTACCGCACCTGAGAAACCTACCACAGTCACGACTGTGATCAGTGTCAGAACATTTTCTTCTTCTCTGCCCTCATTGTCATTCATGCACTGATTCATGCTATGCGTCTATTTCTTTCAATTGTGGCAAAACAGACACAACAAAACATCCTCCAATTCAACAGCGTCTACCCGATGGTTTAGAAGTGCCACCGACTGTACTCTCTGTATTGTTCAACCACCATTGATATCCCTCTCCCGTGTTCCAATACCATTAAAATAAACTCAGTGCCTCTTTGCCCTTCACCCACAGTCACCAGAGGTCAAGCTGAGTTTCTGCTTCTTTTTATGTTTCAGTAGTTTCTTGCTATCATATCCACATAGCATATGCTTCCGTAGTTAGATCGCTTTTTGAAAGAGTTGCCCCTGCATCGCCACAGTTATTGTCTCTAGCACCCATTCCTTCGGTGCTTCGTAAACTGGGACACCTGACACTCATGTGGTTCTCCTAACGGTCTGATGACGGAGGCTCTGGGACGCTCCTCCGTCCAAGGATGAGGAAGCAAAGGGAGCCCAGAGGGGCCCGTGACCCGCCCCAAAGCTCACAGCCAGCAAGCGGCAGAGCCAGGATTCAAACCCCAGCAGCCTGGACTACACTGCCCCATCACCCTAGGAGGTAGGGCTTATGATCCGATTGTTGCCCACATTTAACAAGCCCCAGGTAAGTGATTGGCTGCTAACTGAATAGTTCGTGCCCTGAAACACGCCTCTCCCCCCCTCCCCCAGCAGTTCTTGGGAGAAGGCATAGCGTGGACCACAACTAGGAAGCTGAGATTCCGGAGGGCAGGTGTCGTGGCCAGGGTTGTGCTGTGAATGGGGAAGAGTCCAAGTGGAACCCAGGCCTGGACACTGGCCCGAGGTCCTTTCCCAGCCTCCACGACAGTGGTTCTCTACCTTCCTGATGCTGCGACCCTTTAACACAGTGCCCTCCTGTAGTGGTGACCCCTGTCCAGAAAATGATCTTCATTGCTACTTCATCACTGCCATTTTGCTACTGTGACGAATTGTGATGTAAATACCCGATACGCAGGATGTATTTTCATGGTTAAAAATTGAACATCATTAAACATAAAGCATAGTGATTAATCACAAAACAATATGTAATTATATATTGTGAAATGTGTATGTGTTTTCCGATGGTGTTAGGCGACCCCGGTCAGAGGGGTCGAGACCCACAGGTTGAGAACCACTGCTCTAGGACGAGGTAGGAAAGACAGCGTGGGTTTGCACATGGAGACCTGCGCTTGGTGCCCAGGGAGTCATGGGCAAGAAGCTGGGGGAGGGCCTGGGGGGGGATCAGAAGCAGGAACAGGCACTCGCCTTGCAGCCAGCCCTGCCTATGAGTCCAGCCGCATCCCTAATGCCCCGTTCTGTGCCCAGCCAACCCAGCCTGCCCCAGGTGGTGACTCCCTCACAGGGCTGCAGGGAGGGCCTGCTTCACGGGGCGGTCATGGTCAGCGTCCGAGGGACTGAAGAGAGCCCAAGGGTGCCTGGGTGGCAGGGCACCGGCAGGCCTGAGGAAGCCGGCTCCTGTTTGGGGGTGGGTGCTGCAGGCAGAGGCCCATGTGACCTTACGGCTGACATTCCCCAGTGGCCACGTGGCCCCAACTGGCAGGGACAGCTGCAGAGGGCCGAGGCCCCATCAGCTTTGTTCCCAGGGTGGCACCCACTCCCTGGCAGGCTCTGTCCTAGCGGCTTTCCTGTCCCGGTGGCTGGCTCAGTGGGTGGCAGCACCGTGGGTCTCGCCATGAGCACCTAGAGGCCCAGGGCCACCAGTGGGGGTGCCCTCTGTGGTTGTGCGGGGCTCCGGGAGGATGGGGCAGGACCAAACGAAGCAGCAGATCGAGAAGGGGCTCCAGCTCTACCAGTCCAACCAGCCGGAGAAGGCGCTGCAGGTGTGGACGCGGGTGCTGGAGAAGAGCGCCGACCTGGTGGGCCGCTTCCGCGTGCTGGGCTGCCTGGTTACGGCCCACTCGGAGATGGGCCGCTACAAGGAGATGCTCAAGGTGGGCCGGGGCAGGGTGGAGGGCCGGCGGCGGTGAGGGGGTTACACAGGCCCAGCCCAGCCCTTCTACAGGCTGCGGTCCAGGTGGGAGATGCTGCTGGGTCTCAGCGTGTGGCCTGGAGCTGCAGGCGTGCTCTGTGTTGAGACATGCTGTGGGGTTCTCCAGTGCAGGGTGTGGGTCTAGGAGCAGTGGGAGAAGGGAGGCCCCCCAGTCTGAGGATGGGGCTTGGAGGGCGGCAGAAGCTGCCCATTGGAGGTTGAAGACAGAAGGGTGAAGCTCTGGTCTGAGGCTGAGTGGGGGTTCTGAGTCTGAGGGTGGGGGTTCTGGGTTGGAGGGGAGGGGAAGCAGGCCATGAGTCTGAGGCTGGAGGAGAGGGTCTGGGTCTAAGTCTGAGACTGGGGGAAACAGGCTGGGAGTCTGAGGCTGGGGGAGAGGGTCTGGGTCTAAGTCTGAGGCTGTGGGGGGGGGTCGGGCTGTGAGTCTGAGGCTGGGGGTAACAGGCTGGGAGTCTGAGGCTTGGGGAGAGGGTCTGGGTCTAAGTCTGAGGCTGGGGGGAGCAGGCTGGGAGTCTGAGGCTGGGGTAAGGGTCTGGGTCTGAGGGGAGGGGTCTGGGTCTGAGGCCAGAGGGCTGGAGGGCTGGTCACTGGCTCGAGCGGCTGACAGCTCTGTCCCATGCCCGGTGTTGGGCAGTTCGCTGTGGTGCAGATCGACACGGCCCGGGAGCTGGCGGATGCCGACTTCCTCTTGGAGAGCTACCTGAACCTGGCACGCAGCAACGAGAAGCTCTGTGAATTCCACAAGACCATCTCCTACTGCAAGACCTGCCTCGGGCTGCCGGGCACCAGGGCAAGCGCCCAACTGGGAGGCCAGGTCAGCCTGAGCATGGGCAATGCCTTCCTGGGCCTCAGCCTCTTCCAGAAGGCCCTGGAGAGCTTCGAGAAGGCCCTGCGCTCTGCCCACAACAACGATGACGCCATGCTGGAGTGCCGGGTGTGCTGCAGCCTGGGCAGCTTCTACGCCCAGGTCAAGGTGGGTCCCGGGGACCCCGCTCCCTGCCCAGTCCCCCTGTTTAGTCAAACAGGGCAGCATCGTAGGCAAAGGACCTTAGCCAGGCAGGGGAGGGAGGGGCCAGGACTCCCTGATGGCCCTGGTTTCCTGGGAGGGACCAGCCTGTTGAGGTCAGGCCGTGGACCGGCAATGTCCAAGTTTGCTGTGTGATCTTGGACAAGTCGCCTCCCCCTCTGCCGTGGGTTGAGTGCCATTGCATAGCAGCCCTAGAGGACTTAGTAGAAATGCCTCCAAGGTTTCCCAGGCTGCCAATCTATACAGGAAGGTGATGCAGTGGGCTGGGCACTGGGCTGATAACCACACGATCCGTGGTTCATACCCACCAGGTACCCAGTGGGAGAAAGACGAGGCTGTGTGCTCCTTCCTGTAAAGGTTAACTAATGTTTTTGGGAATTCTGTTCAGGGGTCTGTGAGTTAGAAGCGACTCAATGGCTGTGGGTAAATCTTCACTCGGCTCCTTAAAGAAGGCAGGACACACCCAGGAAACTCACAAAGGCATGGCTGGTAGCAGGTCCACACAGCGAAGTTACAGGGAGACGTACATTGTATTTGACCAGCGGTTCTCAACCTGTGGGTCATGACCCCTTTGGGGGGTGGCGACCCTTTCACAGGGGTCTCCAGATTCACAAGAGTAGCAAAACGACAGTGATGGAGTAGCAACGAAAATAATTTCACGGTGGGGGGGGTCACCACCACATGAGGAACTCTGAAAGGGCCGCAGCGTGAGGAAAGCTGAGAACCGCTGTGTTAGACAGAGACTTGGCTAGACTGCTCCAGGGCCTTCCAACCAAGGCAGGCAGGGGCCAGCTCAAGACTGTAAGACCTCCGGTACGGGGATTTCCACCAACAGTGAAAAGGCCAATAAGACCCAAACCGCTTTATAAATTCAGCGCCATTCCGATCCGAACGCCAGCACGATTCTTCCCAAAACGGAGTGGAGAAAGGAATCACCAAAGGGTAGACGGAACATTATTTAAAATATAAGTAACACCAAGTAGGCGACCTTGCAGCCCCAGATTTTAAAGCCTACGGCATCACCACGGCAATCCAAACAGTGTGGTGCTGGTATAATGAACAGCTACCACACAGACCAGTGGGTCCGAACTGAGACCCCAGGAAGACCGCAGAGCACCTGCACACACTTGACCTTGGAGCAGGAGAAGAGCCAGCCAGTTCACTACATGGGGCTGAACAGACAAACGCCAGTCAGAGGGTTGGTTTCCACCGCTGTTTTCCCGGGAAAGTCCAAACAAGCCTGTGCGGTGCTGGGAGCGGCCCAGGAGAAGGCGATTACTGGATGTGAAGTGAGGGGGGATCTGGGGCAGAGTCCACCAGGAGAGTCTGGCGTGAGAACTGGGAGCCCTCCTCTGGATGAACCAACCAGCAGGTGGGGTGGTAGTGAGTGGGACAGAGACAGGAGGGCACAGGGGTGGCAGCTCTGGCAGGCAATAAGGGAGTTCCTGCCTGGGGCATGAGGCCAGGGCAGCAGCTGAGGGGACAGGCAAAAATGACGGTTTGCAGGTTTGAAGGAGAAACTCACGGGATGACTTCCTGGGCGCCATGGGCGGATGCCACGGTCCCTTGGCATCAGTGGCTCTGCCAGTCATCCACGGAGCCTTTGGAAGTGAGAACTCGCTCATAGGAGGTGGAGTGCTCTACTGGTCCCCTCCCCTCCCGCGCCTCCAGCTGAGGGGAACTTGGGATTGGGGGGAAAGGAGACAGGTATATTCTCTTGCCTTCTTGTTCGGTTGTCCATTCAGCCAATGCTGGTGTCAAGTGTGGTGCCAGGATCTTATAAATCACGGATGGACCGGCCAAAGAACCTGGCCTTCAGAGGGTCCACACCTTTGCCCTGCCATCTCTGCATGCCCAAGGATCACTTCCCCTGGCAACCAAATGAATGAATGAATGAATGAGATGCAGGAACACTGGGCAGGGCCTGTGGCCCTCCCTGGCTGTGGGAGCAGGCAGACCCTGGAGCTCTCAATTAGCACCCATGTGCCAGCTCCCACCCTGTGCCCTCCCTGTGTCCCTGCAGGACTATGAGAAAGCCCTGTTCTTCCCCTGCAAGGCCGCAGAGCTTGTCAACAACTACGGCAAAGGCTGGAGCCTCAAGTACCGCGCCATGAGCCAGTACCACATGGCCGTGGCGTACCGCCTGCTGGGCCACCTGGGCAGTGCCATGGAGTGTTGTGAGGTGTGCCTGCAGGGGGCGGGGCAGGCGGGTGGGTGCTATGGGCTGGGGCCCAGGGAGCAGGGCCTCCTTCTTCTAAATCAGCTCTCCCCAACCCCCCAGGACCCCTGCCTCACCCCTGGCCCAGGCCCCCCATTAGGGCAGAACGCCTGAAGCATGTGTGGGCTTCTCGATCCCCCCCTGCCCATAAAAGAAACCTCCCTCCAGTCCATGCCAGCCTCAGCCGACGGGAGGGGCGTCCCTGGGGGCCCTTGGGAGAGCAGGAGCGCACACAGCCAGCCTCTGGGCTTCCAGCTTGGTCCTTTCTGAGCTGGTATCCCGCTCTCTTCTCTGAGCCTCTGCTTCTGCCTGTCAAGAGACAGCGGCCACTTTGCTGGACGCTGGAGGTCTCCGCAGTTAGTGCACGAAGCCTCAGGACTGCGGTGGACTCTGAGGATGGTGCTGGGCTGCTGCAGTAGGGCGGGGGGAAGGGGTAGGCAGTGGAGGGCACCACACAGGCTGAGGGTCCCCTCCTGCCCAGGAGTCGATGAAGATCGCCCTGCAGCACGGGGACCGTCCACTGCAGGCGCTCTGCCTGCTCTGCTTTGCCGACATCCACCGGAGCCGGGGGGACCTGGAGGTGAGGGGACACCTGGATGGGGAGGCTAGGGCCGGGGTCCGGGGGGTTCAGGCCCCGCCCAGCCTGACTTCTCCCCCTCCGGGCTCCCCACCTCCCCCCTGGCCCTGCAGACAGCCTTCCCCAGGTACGACTCCGCCATGAGCATCATGACTGAGATTGGAAACCGCCTGGGGCAGGTCCAGGTGTTGCTGGGCGTGGCCAAGTGCTGGGTGGCCAGGAAGGCGCTGGACAAGGTAAAGCAGGGCCCTGCCCACAGCCCCCATTCTCTCCAGTGCCCCCAACAGGGAGCTGACCACCTTGGGGTCTTTCCATCACTCCGCTTAACATCAGCTTCACGCAGACCTCACGGGGCTCGGACGCTCCTTGTCATTCTCCAGAGGAGGAAACGGAGGTTCAGAGACGGCCCGTGCCTGGCCCAGGGACTCACACTAGGTTTGAAGGGTTTTGACGCAGCTGCTGACTCCATATCCCTTTTTATTGCTGGGTAAACTGAGGCAGGGGTCATTTGCTTAGACAGTTCTGGTTACTGCACCTGTCTTCTCGACTTAAACACACACACACACACAGCAGCTGCCTCGCCACCTCCCTCTCCCCACCTGTTCCCTCCCTGCCCCTCCTCCCTGGGAACCCGCAGCCCCTGCCTCTGCTCACCTTTCAGGCTCTGGAGGCCATCGAGAGAGCCCAGGACCTGGCCGAGGAGGTGGGGAACAAGGTCAGACCGGAGTCCCTCTTCTGGGTCTGGGGGGGAGTGGGGGAGGGCACTCTTCCATGCCCTGGGCTCTGCTCAGTCCTCCGGGAACTGTCCCCACCACCGCAGGGCCCGGGTGTTTCTCTGGGCCTTGAAAGTGGAGTGGGAGAGGCTCGGTGGTGGCTGCCTCCCACACACAGGGTTCTTACAGGAGCCAGTCTGTCCCAATTCCAAACCCCAATCCCTCTCCCAATTCAATACTTGCCTCTGAACTCTAAGAATGTGGCAAGCAGGCCCAGTGGCCCTCGGAATCTTCTAGAGGAGGAGCAATGAATTCTCTGGGGCTCGGTACCCAGTTGAAGAGCCCAACAGACACCTGATTTGGGGGATAGCAGCTCAGGGGGGTTAACCTGCGAGGCTGGTAACCTGTTCTGTTGTGGGTGAGACCATCAACGCTCAGGAAGCACGTGAACCATGCTGAATACACGTACCCAGGTTGGCCACTAAAACGGTTTCAAAACGTGGATCTCCAAAGGGCCCGGGGCAGGCTGGCTAAGGAGGGGGCCGGCCGCTGCTGGCTGGCCCTGACTCCTGTGTCCGTCCCCAGCTGAGCCAGCTGAAGCTGCACTGCCTGAGCGAGCGCATCTGCCGCAGCAAGGGCCTGCAGCGCGAGCTGCGCGCCCACGTGGTGCGCTTCCACGAGTGCGTGGAGGAGACGGAGCTGTACTGCGGCCTGTGCGGCGAGTCCATCGGCGAGCGGAACAGCCGGCTGCAGGCCCTGCCCTGCTCGCATGTCTTCCACCTCAGGTGGGGGCTCCCAGCCCGGGCCCCCGGGCTGTCTGTCCTAAGAGCTCCCACTAGAATAGTCCCTGGACCCGCCCAGCACCCCATAGGTGACCATGATGATGATGTTGATGATGACGGGCCCCAAAGAGGAGTCTGAGAGGCCCTGCAGTGCACCCCTCCCCGCACCTGATTCACAAGCGCAGGGGCAGAGCCCTATGGGCGGTGGTGGCAGAAGACTGGCTCCCTCCTGCCTCCCTGCCCAGTGCTCTGCCCATGGAAGCCTCCCCAGGATCAGGGGGTGGGGGTCAGAGAGAGGGTGGTGGGAGAGGGGGAGAAGGAGAGCCAGAGGACAAAGCCTTTCCCTCCCAAGGTGCCTGCAGAAGAGCGGGCCCCGGAGCTGCCCCAATTGCCGTCGCTCCTCCATGAAGCCTGGCTTCGTGTGACCCCAGCGACTGACCCTCATCGTCGGGGCCACCCTGGCCGCTGCCTGGCCCTACCGGAAGCTCCTGGCGGCCAGGCCTTGGTGGCCCTTCACTCCTCCGACACCGGCCAGGGCCGGGCCAGCCCACTGCTGTCCCTCTGAGCCTGTCTGCCCTTCCCACCTCTTTGTACTTTGCTCTTTCTAGAAAAATAAACCGTGCGTATCTGGTGCCACTGCCTCAGGCTTTCTCTGGCCGTCTGAGGAGGCGGGATGGGGGGTGCACGAGGACGCTGGGTGGCCGCCTCACAAGAGGACGCCCCCAGTGCCTCCAGGCGCCTCCACAGGTGTGGGGACGCCAAACCATCAATCACACGGCCACCAAACCGGCCACACACGGAGTCTGCTCGGAAGTGATCGTGCCTTGGAAAACGCAAGAGTCGATGGCGCTGGGCTTGATTTGCTTGCCCTCATCCTCTTCCTCAGCAAGTCAGCCCTGAAGCCATGGGGTGGGAGCCCAGCAGGGTGAGGAGGGGGCGTCCAAGCTGGCACAGCTCCAGGTAGGGAGTCAGAGCCGGGGGCAGAGAGAAGGGCACCCAGGGGAGGAAGGGACACTGGGCCCCAGCCATGAAGAGGACACCCATGTGGGTGGGTGGTCTAGGGAGCTAGAGCCCGGCTGGCAGGAGGACCCCAGTGCACAGGGCGGCGTGGTGAAGGGGGGTCCGAGCCAGAGCAGGGTGAAGACGACAGTCCTGGAGGAGAAAGGCTTGCACGGAGAGTCAGCACGGTGAGGGGCAGAGCTGCAGGACGGCGGAACAGAGCGTCCAGGGCCACGCAAGGCCTGGCGAGGGGCACTGGAGCTAAGGAGGCTGGGGAGTTGGCCACGTCGGGGGCAGCCCGTGTGTGGCGTCAGAGCTCGAGTGGCACGGGTGGCCATCCGTGTCTTTGGGTGTCCTGGCATAGGGCATCAGAGCCATGGGAAGAGGAGGCTGTGCAGGGAGGGCACGGCTACTGTGAGGGGGCAGGGCGGGGTCACAGAGAGGGAGCAGGTCACATGAATAGACACATCCATCCATGATCTTGGGAGCCAGGCTTCTCCGTGCCCAACAAGGGGGTTGTATATAGGAAGAGAGAGGAAGCCGGACGGGACCGGCGGTGCTGAATTGGAATTGTAGGCATCACAGTGCATGCAGTGATGTGCACTGTGTACTCAATTAAAACACACGTTGCATATAGATATCCATATGGATATCACTGGATCTAGAAATAGATGTGTGTGTGTGTGTGTGGTTGCAGTGACGTGCCGATAGCAATGCGCACCGAGAACCCAGACCTTGACTTCTAAACCCCATGGCTCTCTGGAGAAGGTGTGATGCCAGCCAAGGGCGAGGGCAACCACCATGAGCCTGGGAGCACAAGGAAACGTGAAGGATGGTGATGGTTCAAAGGACACCAGCACCCGTTTGTGTGGGCTCCTCCCGCCCACGGAGGCATGAGAAGAAACGAGAGAGCCGACTCCTTTGATGGCTCCGCCTGCGAATCCTTGCTGACGCCATCAGCCACGAGCTCTCCTGTTGACGTGGAATGGGATGCTTGCCTAGTTCTGGAGCGCATTCCCATCAGCGTCTTTACTCGGCTCAAAGGGCAGTTTCCCCGCAGAGAAGACTGGCAGCCGCCAGCTTAACCGAGTGAGGAAGGCTAGGGCGTCGAGGGGTGGGGCAGACTGAAAGTGTGGGCTTACCTGATGGGCTACAAGAAACCCCGTGCCGTGCCTGTGTCTTCCTGGCCAAGATGCATCCAGTGAGTCCAACAGGAGGAAATACCTGGAGGTCATGCTGAGTCACCGGCCCACGATCTTCCGGGGGTTCCGTTGGGAAGCCGGAGAAACTGTCCGAAACAGATGGAGAGACAAGCAAATCGACTGCTTGAGTTGAGCGAGACCCCTTTACTGGAAAGGACATTGCCTGGGACAAGTAGTGAAGCTCAATGGGGTCTGAGGACTCCAGGTACAACCCATGGCCATCAACTTGATTCCTATTCCGGGTGACCTGCTAGGGCAGAGTCGAGCTACCCCCTTGGTTTCTGGGACCGTACTCATCACAAAAGGAGACTCACACTTTCCTCCCAGGGAGCAGTTGGTGGGATCAAACCACTGACCTTCTGGTTAGCGGCCAAGAGCTTAACGGCCGCCTCACTGGGGATCCTGCTATCAACGCGAAGGGTCTGATAGGAAAGGATGTTTTCCGGTTCAGTCAGATGATGCCCTTGATGGTAGACTATACGCACTGAAGTATTCTGGGTGAAGGGATGTCAGGTCAGCAGTTTTCCTTCAAATGCTTAAAGGAGGTTATTGATATGGCACACACAACTTTTTTTAGATGGTTTTCATTAAACCATCTAAATTAAAAAAAACACAAAAGAAATCATTAATAGAAGGTGTTGTTGTCATTGTTAGATGCTGTCAAATGGGCCTCTCCTCGTGGCGACCCCAGGGCAACACAAGGAAACACTGCCCGCCCCGCACCGCCCCTCACACTCGCTGCATCCGAGCCCATTGTGGCAGCCACCGTGTCCGTCCATCCCGTCCAGGGTCTTCCTGGCCAAGCATGACTGGTTTCTCTTGATAACATGTCCCGAGGACATGAGACGAACTCTCGCCGTCCTCGCTTCTGCAGGGCATGCTGGCCGGGCTTGTTCCGAGACAGATCTGTTTGTCCTCTGGACAGTCCATGGTGCCGTCACCAACGCCATCGTTCACAGGTGTCCATCCTTCCGTCCTCCTTATTCCATGACCAACGTTCACACCCAGATGGGGAGGTGGAAAAACACCAGGGCTTAGGTCGGGTGCACTGTTGTCCTCAAAGCGACAGCCTCAGAGCCTTTAAAGAGTTCTGTCGTACGCAGCACATTTCCCCATTGCAACGAGCCACGTGATCTCTTGACTGCTGCTTCCATGCACGTTGATGGGCGATCCAGACAAGATGAGATCCTTGACAACTTCCAGTCTTCTCTGTTGACCATGATGTTACCTATTGGTCCAGTCGTGAGGATTTGGGCTTTCTCTACAGGGAACTGCAATCCATCCTGAAAGCTGCACTCCTTGATCTTCATCAGCAAGGGCCTCGAGGCCCCCCCACTTTCAGCAAGCGAGGTGGTGTCGTCTGCCTATCACAGGTTGCCCATCAGCCTTCTGATTCCCGATGCCACACTCTTCTTCACAGAGTCAGCTTCTCAGATTATTTGCTCAGCACACAGATTGAATAAGTGTGGTAAAAGGGTACAACCTTGACGCACGCCTTTCCTGATTTTAAACCACTCAGTATTCCTTGGATTTGTTAGAAGGACTGCCTCTTGATTCATGTAAAAGTTCCTCCTGGGCACTGTGTTAGTCCGGGTAGACGAGAGAAACAAATCCAGGGAGATACTCCTATGTGTATAAGAAAGAGGTTGATACACAAGAGCAATTGAATATTGACAGAACAGCCTAGCCAGTACAGATCAAGTCCATAAGTCTGATATTAGTCCATATGTCAGACACCGATCTATAAAGTCCTCTTCAGACTCACCCAACACATGCAATGACACTGAATACAGGAAGATCACAGGCCAGCGGGTGGAAAGTCTTGTGGATCCAGTGGTGGTGGAAGCATCTCAGCGCTGGCAGGGGTCTCCACGTGGTTCCTTCAGCACTAGTGTCTGTCCATGTGTCTTGTCCGCAGGGCGTGAGTGTGAGCCCCTCCAGAGCTGTTTATCTCCTTAGTGCCTCCAAATGAGGTCCTCAAGCTACGCCCTGATTGACAGGCTAACCTCCACCCCTTCACGCTTAAGTCTCACATTGACAACCGATGATGTAACTTCCACGTGCACAAGGAAGTGTTTTGGGATTCCTTTCCTTCTCAAGGATATCCGTAGCTTGTAGGATCCACACAGTTGAATGCTTTGGCTTAGTCCATAAAACACAAATACACCCCCCACTATCATGATCCCAATTCTACCTTACAAATCTGGCTGGACCAGAGGATGTACATTGGTACAGATAGGAACTAGAAACACAGGGAATCCAGGACAGATGATCCCTTCAGGACCAGTGGTGAAAGGGGCGAGGCCTGGAGGGTGAAGGGAATGTGGGGTGGAAAGGGGGAGCCAATTACAAGAATCTAGGTATTGCCTCCTCCCTGGGGGAGGGACAGCAGAGAAGGGGTGGGGGGGAGACATCAGACAGTGTAACTTATGACAAAACTATAAGAAGTTGTGAATTATGAAGGGTTCATGAGGGAGGGGGGAAATGAGCAACTGATATTAAGGGCTGAGGTGGAGGGCAAATATTTTGAGAATGATGAGGGCAGCGAATGTACGTATGTGCTTGACACAATGGATGTGTGTACGGATTGTGATGAGAATTGTACAAGCCCCCAATAAAATAATTTTTAAAAAAAAGAAAAGAAATATAACCTAATAGGACAAAAAACACACACAAATAAACATCTTTCTGATAGTCTCTGCTTTGAGCCCAAATCTGTCGGATGTCGGCAAAACGAGTGGAGCAGGGTAAATGTATGGGACGGGGAGGTTGCAGTATTAGGAGGGCTCTAAGTGTGGGCCTCATTAGAAGGTGCATCCGAGGCAAGACTTGAAGGCAGTAAGGAACCGGATGAAGCTATTCTCCAGAGAAGACTGTTTTAGGAAGAACCAGCAGTCTGTCTGTTTTTGTTTTCATTGTGGCTAAGTATTAGGTGCACAGAGCATTAATTCCATTCACAATTTGTGCAATCATTCCCACTATCTATTTCCAAAACATTTTCATGTCCCCAAACAGAAACTCTATACCCTTTAACTTGAGCAAGAACTCCCCAGTCCTCTACCTTCCAGCCCCTGGTAACCTCTAACCTACTTCCTGTCTGGCTTTGCTTATTTTAGAGACTCCGTGTCAGTGGAATCACACGTCTGGCCTTTTGTGTGTAGCTTATTTCACTCAGCACAGGGTCGTCCAGGTCCATCTGAGTCATAGCGTGTTTCGGGATTTCGTTCCTTTTTATTCTGAGTAATAGTTCTTCGTTGTCTTGGAAGACATGCAGCCAGAGCGCTCCTTAGAGCCAAGGATCGTGAGACTGCGCCTTAGGTACGTG